CACCAGCACGGGAAATGTGAAGCCGTGAGCGTGAGTGCACAGGGACAGAGTTGGAGGGGCTGAGCTCCCTAACTCTCTAATCCCAGAGCCAAGGCTCCAGGGCCAGAGAGGGAGACTGGAAGTCTTAGGGGACGTCTGAAAGGTGGGTCTGGAGAACAGATGAAGCCATCCCCCTCCCCACCGTCCTTCTGAATCCCTTACTATGCAGTGGGTCCCAGTAAACACCTGTTGAATGGATTTTGACTCAGAGACCCTAGCACCAAGGCTAGGTCTCACTCCTCTCATGAGGGAATTTAAATTCCTTTTGCTAAAAAACCAGGCTGTTCTGTTCTGCTTTGTACAGAGAGAAGAATGACAGAGCCTTCTGACTCTGAGGTCCTCAGGAGGCAAGAAAAGGGGACAGAGGGTTGTTGGGGCCCAAGGCTGGCTGGGAGGGGGTGTCTGTCACCTTGGTTAAGGGCTCGGGCAGCATGTCCATCGAAAGCGTCCAGAAGCCCGCTGAGCAGGTAGAAGGAGGAGGCCGTAAGGGGGCAGCAGGGCATGAAGTAGAAAGAAATGATGGCGAAGACAATCCGGGCATAACCTTGGAATGGGGACGAGGGGGGAGACAAGGCGGGATCAGGGAGCCTGCCCAGGACCCCTTGCCCTCCAGCTCGGCCCGAGGCCGCGGGCAGCACTCACCGATGAGGTTAGGCACGAACAGGAAGATATTTTCTTCTGCCATCCTGGCGGTCCCTTTGTCGCCCCCGGCCTGCTCTGGAGATGCCAGTGCTGTCCCAGCCCAGTCGTGCGGCTTTCCCCTCCCAAAAATGCGTCCTGGACCCCGCACCCCCCGCCCCGCCCCAGGTGTTAAAGCTCGCAGCCCGCCAGAGCATGGGCCGACCCAGATGTGCGCGGGCCGCAGGGGCGCGCACACCCCGCCCTTCCGACCGACAGCCCCTCGCCTCGGTCAGCCCTTCGGGCTCTCCAGCCTACGACAGCGGTTTCCGCAGCTCCGGCTGAGCTCGATTTCCAGGAACCTACTCTTCCACGCTCCTGCTAGCAAACCTGGAAAAAGGAAAAGGCTTTAAAAATGGCTGCGGCCCCTTTAACACCGGCCCGCTTCCTTTTCCTTTTCCTCCTCCGCCCCTTTCCATCGGCTCATACCAAAGCACAGAGGGAGGGGAGGGAGCACAGACCCCTTGACGCGGTGCAAAGGAAGGAGCCGAGAAAGGACGAGCAAAGGAGAAGGTCTAGAGTAGTAACTTTATTTAACTTTAAAAAAAAAAGTTTGCCAGAGGGCGTTCGATCTCGCAGGAGTCACAAAGGGAAAGGAAGAAAGCATCCCCCCATGGGACATGGTCATGCTGCAATCCCATTTCTCCATCCCGTCCTCTTTCAGGGTGGGTCGGTATATTTCTCAAACCCCCAGTCCAGGACTCTAACTGTGCAGGAGGCAGTGGCGGGGTGGGGGGTGTGTGTCAGCCGCCTTAACGCCACGCCTGGGCCTGGTCCCCTACTGTCCTTTTCACAGGACAGTATCCTTATAAGGATAAGGCGGTAGGATTCCGGCCTCCCGGGCCTGTGCATCCCCGAGAGACCAGGTTATTTAGTACGGCCCACATGCCCCGCCCCCAGGCCTCTGGCCGCAATTGCTCTCGCAGGTTCAAGGATGCGAAGTGACGGCTAGAGAGGATGAAAAGCGGCCCCGAGCGGGGTTGCTTCTTGCGTGCCCCTAGTGGTGGGAGGATTTGGTCTAGGCCATCCAGGCCATCTAGGCCATCTCCCCAAATTTCTGGCCGCCTCCAAAGAGGGACCCGGACGGGTAGGGAGGGGAGGCGGGAGGAGTAAACGGTGTGCTAAGAAAAAGCCCCTGTCTTTGGTTCTAGAACCCCTTATCTCCCAGCAACGGGGCTCGTAGAATCTCTACAGACACCAAGGTTTTTATAGCAACGGGTAGAGGAGCGCACTGGTCCCCCCCTTTGACCTTCCTCCCCAATTCCTACTCCCTGTCCCCGCCCTGGAACCTGTATAGGGACCCCTAAGACCTTCCCATCTCCCCTCCTGCCAAGTAGCCCAAGATTTCAACCCATCAGCCAGGTCCGGGGCAGCAAGTCAGCTGCCTTGGCTGGGGAAGGGCCTTGGGAGAGCAGGAGGGAAGGGACCCCGGAGAAATGGGGGAGGGGACTATTATGGAAGGTCCTGAAGATACAAGGAGATTGTGTATATATACATATACATATATATACACAATCCTTCCCCTTCGAGAGAGAGAGAGAGAGAGAGAGAGAGGTTCTAGAGAGACAGGGGGATTTTTCATCCGAAGGCCTTGTTTAAGTTCTGGCCCTGAGCAGTGGTGGTGGCGTGGGCTCGGGGAAAGCAGACTGGTTGCGCAGTCTAACCCAGGCTTCCACTGTTGCAGGGGATGGCATCCACTCCTACCAAGAATGAGGAGGAGAAGGGCAGCTGGCCTGCTCAGGCACCGTCTCCCTTGAGTGGAGAGCTGGTGAGTGCCGAGGGGGAGCTCTAGAGGTGGCAGGTGCATAGAGTGAGGAGCTCCCAGCTCCCTGAGTACTGGAGTTATTCGGTCCTAGGTCTGAGCCCTAAGCCCTAAGCCCTCAACACCAGGTCCTGGGACTTCCAAAGACCCTCACCCCTGGGGTCCAGGGCCTTCCAGCTGGATCTGAAGGCCCAACCCTCCAGCACAACTCACGAGACCAAAGCCCCTAGCCTAGGAGTTCCCAGACCCAGGACTCCTGTGTAGGAACCCCCAGGCCTTGTCCTTTCCCAGAAGGTTTCATTATCCCGTTCTGAGGAATTCCTGACCCGGATCAGCACGGAACTCACGGATGAAGCCTTGCTTTTGGCTTGCTGCCACATGAACACTGTGCCTACCCAGGAAAAACAGACCAGAGACCAAGGGACTCAGATATCCAAGCACGGTAACCCCTTCTGTAAGACTACTGTGTCTAGAGACCTTCCACATGCCTAGCTCCAGCCCCCGACCCCCTCCCAACCATGACCTCTCCAGGGAGCTGTGCACCTCTCCCCCACCTCAGAGCAGCTCCAGGACCCACACGGTGCCTCCCAACCCACTAACACCTTACCCACTCCTTGCTGGCCAGGCATTCCCTCATCCCTTTCTGCCCTAGCCAGATCTCTTTCTGTCCATGGGGATAGTCCTTTTTCTGACCAGGGCCTCTACTTCCAGCATTCATCACCAAGACCCGAGGCACAGACACCCGGTGAGTGAGGCCCTTTGACCCAGGAGAAAGCCTGTAGGGGCGACAGCCGGGGTTTGACAGCATCCAGCAGGGTAGGGGGATTTTTGAACCATGCAGTTCTATTTCATTTTGCCCTGAGCCTCAGATGTAGAGTTCTCAGCCCTCTCCCTTCTCTCCTGTCATCTCAAGCTCTGACAGAAACCGCCCCCGAACCAAGGCACACCTTCTGCCATCCCCCCATGCAAAGGTACGTACGGGGCCCCTGGATGCCAAGGCCATCAGTATTAAGCAAACATCGTATTTCACTCTGTGCCACTCGTGCATATAGAAGGTGTTTGTGGCACAGAACTGAATGATACAGTCGCAGTCCTTGAAGAATTCAAGGCTTAGTAGTTTGAAGACAGACAAATGCATGGCCAGTTACAATAGACTATGGATAAGTGCCCCTAATCAAAATAGAAACAATGAGATTCTTATCCCAGCCTCAGTTGGAAGGAGAGAAATCATGGCGCTTCCTGAAGGAAGTGACACCTAAAGAAAGAATGTTTCAGGGGAAAAAAAGGATTGGGAGGGGTATTCTAAGCAGTAGGCATTACATGAGCCACGGCACAGAGATGAGCCTTAGTAGAGGAGTGTGAGCGTCTGTGTGTGTGTATTTAGGGGCAGAGGGTGGACCTGAGCAGTTGAAATGCTGGAGTATGCAGGCGAGGTTGGCAGAGACTAACCCAGAAACCTGCTGTGTGTCTTGTCAAGATCTGCAAATGTGGGCCAGCCCTGGGCCTGGTGGCTAAGGGAGCTGGGTCCCACATTGCTGACTGCATAGTTTGAGTCCTGGCCCCGATGGCTTGAAATACATACCAGAGAGGTCAGCAGATGGCATAGCAGTTATGTCCTTGGACTTCCAATGGCTGACCACAGTTCGAGTTCCAGACCCTGTGGCTTGAAACTCATGCCAGGCACGTGTGCTCGTATGCCCAAGATCCTGGGAGGAGAATGCAAGAGAAGGGATTGTGGCACGACCATCCCCTCCAGGAGATGATTTCTTACTTTCCCTCTCACTGTCTTTGTCTCTGTCTCTGTCTTTCTCTCTCTGATGAGCACATGTGCCCTCAGGCAAAAAACCTCTTAAAAAAAAGAAAAAGAAAAACACACTGGATGCAGGCGCCTGTGTATCCAATATCCTGAAAGGAGAGAGAAATGAGGAGAGATTGTGGCATGGCCATGCCCCCATGGGAGGTGCTTTCTCCCTCTCCCACTCTTTATCTCTCTCTGGGAAGTGGGGATTGGGGGACCCATAGATGTTTTCATATAGGAAAGGAGCCACTAAAGAGTTTGAAGAAGGGAAGTTAGAATTTTAGATCAGTCCCTTTGGTAGTTAGTGAGTAGGATGAATTAGAAAGGGGAGAAACTGGAGCCAGGGAGGCCAGTTAAGAATGATTACAGGTGGACCAGCAGATGGCATAATGGTTATGTCGCTAGACTTCCACGTAGTTGACTATGATTTGAGTTCCAAACCCAGATGCTTGAAATTCACACTGGCCACACATCCGTGTGTGCCCAAGATCCCAAGAGGAGAATGGAGGAGAAGGTGTTGCTGTATAGCCATCCCCCAGGTGGTGATTTCTCACTTTCTGTCTCTCTGTCTCTCCAGCAAGAGCACATGCCTTATAGAAAAAGTCTCTCTTAATAAAATTATTACAGAGGGCCCTGCAGAGGGCATCGTGGTTAAGATGCTGGACTCCCACCTGACTGACTATCGTTCGAGTCCTGGACCTGGCAGCTTGAAACACACCAGGAACATGTGCATGCATGCCCAGAATCCCAAGAAAAGAATGGAAGAGAAGGGATTGCAGTGTGGCCATCCCCCTGGGCGATGGTTTCTCACTTTCTGTCTTTCTGGCAAGCGCACATGCATATAACAAAAAGATCTCTCACTCTAAAAAACGAGAGACTTATTACAGGGACCAAACTGGAGATACTAGGTTCTAAATTGTCATAGTAATAATAGCCATGGGAGGAAGGACATATATGAGTAATGAAGACCAGGAAGACTGATGAGTTTGGTAATTGATTAGAAATGATAGGAAAGGAACAAAAGGCATGGAGGACTACCAACTTTCTTTTCTTTCTTTCTTTTTTTTTTTTTTTTGAGAGATTTTTCACTGTAGGGCGCGTGCGCTCGCCAGACAGAGAGAGACATAGAGACAGAAAGCGAGAAATCACCCCCCAGGGGGCATGGTCACGCCGCAATCCCTTCTCCTCCATTCTCCTCTCGGGATCTTGGGCACGCACGCACATGCGCCCGGCGTGAGTTTTAAGCCACCGGGTCCAGGACACGAACCGCGGTCGACTACGTGGGAGTCCAGCGACATAGCCATTACGCTAACTGCTGGTTCCCAAGGACTACCAACTTTCTGACTTGGGCAACCTAGGTGTGATCATGTCGTGTTTGTGCTCAGAACTGTCCAGTAGCTTCCCATCTCAGAGTCATAACCAAGGCCTTGGGCCAGCTGGTGATGTGGTGGTTAAGCCAGCTAGATCTCACGTGGCTGACTGAGTGGTGTGAGTCCCAGACCTGGTGGCTTAAAAACTTGCCAAGCACGTATGCAGGCATGCTCAAGATCCCAAGAGGAGAATGGAGGAGAAGGGACTGTGGTGTGACCATCCCCCTGAGAGGTGCTTTCTTGCTTTCTCTATCTCTTTCTCTGCCCAGTACTGTGCCCTCTGGCAAATTCATAATTAAAAAAAAATGTTAAAAAAAAAGCCAAAGCCCTTCAGTGGCTTACAAGGCCCCACTTAATCTCATCCTTCCCCCGACCCACTGTCTCTCTGACCTGTGGCTGTTACTCCCCTTGTTTCGCCTCTCTGTCATACCCGTTTCCTCATTCTTCCTGGGGCATGGTAGACATGCTCCCGCCTTTGGACATGGTGGGTCTGAGATGCTTTTGGGAACTGTGAGTAGAAATATTCTGTGGACAGTTGGAAACAAGTTCAAAACTCGCTGGAGAGGTCTGGGCTAGTGATAGGGATTAATCTTGAGGTCACCAGGAGGGAACTGGCAGTTGTAGGGTGGGCGTGCGGTTGCCCTGGGTCACCACCCAGGACAGTGGTGGTAGGGTATACTGTGAGAAAGAAGAGGGTGCCAATAGAGCCCTGAAGAGCCTCTCTGTACAAGGGGGTTGGCAGAGGATGAGGGAAAGCAGAGAAGAGACTGACAGCAAATGTTTAATAGTGTCCTTTATGAGCTCCATCCACCAAACCACAGGGAGAGTCACTACTCTGACTTGGGTCACTACTTCAAGTATTTGTCACCAGGACCTGAGGCAAAATACAGCTGAGAACAAGCTACTATTCTTCTTCTCAAGGGGCTGACTTTCTAGTGCCTTTTGGATATTTGGACTGTGGTGTTAAAAACAGAGTGAAGTAGCAGAAGAGCCCTAGGCCTAAGGGCCAGTGTACTATTAACTCCAAGCATCATGCAAGTTGCTTCCCTTCTCCCCAGCTGTTGGGATGGTCTGGGAGGGCCATTCTGTCTATGCGGTGGTTGTATCTTCCTTCTCACATGCCACATGAGTGAAGATTTTATCCTGAGTTAACCCCTACCCTTCGTCCACGTGCCAGTCACCTATAGGCCCAGAGACTTTTCCTTCTTTCCCCTCAAGAAAGAACATGGAAGGCTGCAGATCTTTGAGTAGCCCCTTGCTGGTCAAAAGTGCTGGGCAGGGAGCAGGTGGGTGGGATGGTGGGTAAATGAATGAATGAACAAATGGATAAATAAATTCATTGTGCATTTATTAAGCAATTAGTATGCACTAGCACTGCTCAGGAGCTGGAGTGTGGTAGTGAGCCCAAAAGATCCCTGCCCTCGGGTTTACATGGGGGGTGGGATTGAGGATTAAATGGAAGAGAATGAGTAGGTTGATGGATGAGGGATGGGCAGATGGATGGAAGAATGAAAAGATGAACAGAGAGTGATGGGTGAATGTGTGGATGGTGGGTGGAAGGAGAATGTGGGCAGATGGGTAGATGAATGAATAGCTAGATGGAGGATGGTGGGTGGACAAATGGATGGAGAGTAGATGGGGATGGCTGAACAGGTGGAAGATGGAAGGATAAGGATGTGCTAGTCTTGGGCCTCTGGAGTCTGAAGGCTCACATTGTTTTTCTAGCAAGCTCTTCCCAATGGCTTGCCATCTAGAGGATAGCCAGCCTTCTTCGGTGCTGTTCTCTGCCTCTCATGCCCTCCCCCATTTCATCCTTCTAGAAAATGCCTCATAGCTCCTCTTCAGCAACTCATTAAACACTTCAGTTTTGGAGGGACTCTTGGTCATGAGCAGCATCAACTCTGAAGCCCCCAAAGTGTTCTGGAACCATCATGTGACTCTCCACCCTCAGCCGACAAGGACACCACCAGGAATAAAAGGCTTTAATAAACAGACAGGAATCCTCTCCTTCCCCCAGCATGAGCAGTGCTCTGGTGTGGCTTCTGTGGGGTGGAAGTGTGGGCCCTTTTACTTTGCCAGATGTGGAGGCTGGGTGTGGGTGGCAGAATGGCTTCGATTCAGGCATTACCTGTCATCCTGTTGGCAGAGGTGAGATCATGGATCCAAACCCAGCCTCTTAACCAAACTCCAGTGCCTTTGAGTCTGTTTGTGTCCTCTGGGAGGGCCCATCTTGCTTCTGAAGGGCCACCCGTGCTCTCACCATTGGTGATGAGAACCCTGAGCCACAGTCTGTCTTCTGTGCTTGGGGACCTCCTGCCTATGGGAAGGAGGCAGTGCAGTGAGCCGTGTGGAGTTTGCCTTTAAGCCCCTGCTTGGCCACTTACTGGAGTCTTCTGAGGAAGTTCACATCTCTGAGCCTTTTCCTTATCTGAAAAATGGGAACAGTAAGTCATCCCTGTCTCCCAGGATTTTTTGTGAGGATTAAGAAGCATAATGCATACAGAGCGCTTGGCACCAAATAAATGCTCCAAAATGCCAGCTATTAGCAAGATCAGTTTGCCTCAGGCTCTTACTATCCAACTCCCTTTTGAGTACTAAGCATCCTTTCAAATGCCCTAAAAATATTGTATGTATGTATGTATCTATGTATGTATTTATTTTTGAGAGGTTTTTGCTATAGGGCACATGTGCTTGCCAGAAAGAGAGACAGAGAGACAGAAACCAAGAAATCACCCCCACCCCCCAGGGCGGATGGCCATGCCGCAATCCCTTCTCCTCCATTCTCCTCTCGGGATCTTGCGCACACACACACGCCCAGCATGAGTTAAAGCCTCCGGGTCCAGGACTCAAACCGCAGTCGACTATGTGGGAGTCCAGCAACATAGCCATTAAAACACTGCTGGTCCCAAAATATTGTATTTAAATATAAAATTTTACTTAAGTAAAAGTTAATTTGGAGAAAGCCTGTTTAGGTAAACGGGCTATAAATTCCTTATAAGGTTGAAAAGTAGATAGTGTAGAAAAGGTACCCACAAGGATACAAAATGAGCTCCTACTTGGTAGACATATAACAGCAAATGCGTTTAAAATGTCAGAAAGATTGGGGGGCCAGCAGGTGGCGTGGTGGTTAAGGCACTGGATACTCCCACATGGCTGACCACGGTTCAAGTCCTGGACCTGGTGGCTTGCTTTCTCACTTTCCTTCTCTTTGTGTGTCTTTCTTTCTCTGGTCAAATAAAAATGAATGAATAAATAAATAATTATTTTTTTTAAATGTCAGAAAGATTGAGGGAGGGGGACAGGTGGTGGTGTGGTGGTACTGCATCCAGACTCACATAGGAAAGGTCCTGAGTTTGTGTCCTGGGACCTCCCTGGGCATGCTGAGACCAGAAGTGGATGGTCACAGGAAGACCCTGTTGGGAATGCCTGTCTCTCTCTCTTTCCTAAAATAAATAAAAATAGGGACCAGCAGTTAGCGTAATGGCTATGTCACTGGACTCCCACATAGTCGACCGCGGTTCAAGTTCCAGACCCGGTGGCTTAAAACTCACTTCGGGCACGTGTGTGTGCGTGCCCAAGATCCCGAGAGGAGAATGGAGGAGAAGGGATTGCGGTGTGGCCAATCCCCCCTGAGGGGTGATTTCTTGCTTTCGGTCTCTGTCTCTGTCTGTCTGGTGAGTACACGCGCCCTATAGCAAAAACCTCTCCAAAAAATAAAAATAAAAATAAAAAAAATGAGTAACAACAAACATTTTTTAAAAATAAGGTTAAGGTGGTCCAGTAGGTGGCGTGATGGTTGGAATGATGGACTCCCACGTGACCAGCCACGGTTTGAGTCCTGGACCTAGCAGCTTGCTTTCACATTTTCCCTTCCTCTCTCTCTCTCTGTCTCTGGTGAGCACGCATGTCCTACAACAAATTTTAAATAATAATTAACAAATTAAATAAATAATTATCTTAAAAAGTAAGATTGAGGGAGGAAAAAATAATGGCATGTAATGATATGGATTCAAAAATACTCAAAAGGAGGTTGAATTCTAGGTAAACTGTCGAAACAATTGAAAGTTGTTTACGTCCTTCTAAACTAGGGGTTGGAAAATTACTGTCAGCTCTATTTGGAAGAGTCTAGCGATAGTCTACTTGAGGCCAGTGGGGGCAGCTGAGGGCCAGATGGCTTGTCCCAGCCAGTCCTCTGCAGAGGCTGGGCTAAAAACCAGGCTTTTGACCCCAGGCCAACCCCTTGGCATCGCCTGTGTCCAGTTTTGGATTTCCATGTATTTTTTTAAAGAATTATTTTATTTAGCTTTATTTGTTTGCTTATTTTAATTTGAGCAAAGAGGGACAGAGAGAGAGAAGGAAAATGAGAAAGCAAGCCGCCAAGACCAGGATTCAAACCGTGGTCAGCCATGTGGAAGTTCAGCGCCCTTAACCACCATGCCACTTGCTGGCCCCTGGGTTTTCATTTTTTCTAAATGTCCCCCTTCCCTGGCCCACTCTCCAGAGAGGTCACCATTAGCATCTACAGTTCTGTGATTCATCTTCCCACACCCCACCAGCCCAGTTACAAGTGATGATTTTCTGTTTATTGCTCAAAAACAAAAATCCAGAAGCAAAGATGGAGAGATTATGGGTTGGGGAGACAGCAGGAAGGGGGGCAGGGCCTTGTTTCAGCTCTTCCCCTTCATCCTTTTTCTTCTGACCCTCCAGTGTCCAGGAGGTAGGTCTGGGGCCAGGGCATCTGGGAGGGGAAGGGCCTTCATGACCAAGGGAACAGTAGAGTTATCTGGGGCAGTCCTTGAGGGGTACCCTGGGCTAGAGGGGCCCAAGGGTTGCAAGGGGGCTGAGTTCCCTTCCCAGGGTCCAATAGCCAGTAGGGTGGGGTGGCCCCTTGTTTGGCAACTGAGAAGAGGAGGCTTTGGGAGGCAGGATGCTGGTTTATTTACTGCAGGGTGTCCAGGGCCATCAAAGCCCCCTCGTGGGATGGGGAGACTATTTACACGAAAGGGAAGAGGGGAGCCAGGAGCTAGAGACCAGCCCTGTACTCCCCACTGCCCTGAATGAGGAAGGAAGGGGCGTCCTGGATCCTGCAGCTTTAGTCTTGGGATTCAGATGGAAACTTCGTACTCCCGTGTATCCTGAAGACAGAGAGAGCAGATCAGTTGTTGAAGTGGGATGGTGGTGGAGGAGGCAGCAAAATGGAAGGAGGTATTTCCAGGGAGGGGAAGGCAGGTTTTAACGGTAATGTTGAACACAACTTTGAACCCTTAGGGCTTGGTATCCACAGGTGGGAATGGGGCTATAGCTGGTCAAGGGATGTGTCTGGTTCATCCTACAGTGTCTTAAAATGACACCAAAGGAATAGGAATTACTGGATTGCCTTGACCAGCTGGAAGAGCTGGCAACTGGGCCTAAGTTTCCACAATGAGCTGGAGCTGCTTCCTTGACACGGCCCAAGTTCTCCAATTAGTCACAGTCCTCACTGGTTCTATTTTTCACACATGCCTGGCCTGGCTCATTGACATGGCCTCTGGAGGCAGCTGGTTTGAAATTCCAAGATGGAGATTACAGAGACCTTGAGAGAAGGTAATGGCGTCCTGGGGGAGCTGACAGAGGTGACATTCTGGGGGTAGGGGAGGGGCTCACCCCAGCTTCATACAGTGGGTTGCTGAAGTCCGACTCCACGGTGATGGGGCTGTAAGAGTGGGAGCCTGAGAAGCCGAAGAGGGATTTTCCCTGCAGCCTGGGAGAAGGAGTGACAGAGGGGCTTAGCCACAGGGGAGCCCGAGCTCTGCTCACAAAGGCTCCCCCCCCCCCAGCAGCTCCCTGAGCAGGGGCTTACTTAGTGTAGTATATGTAAACGCCAGTGCCGAGGACAATGACCAGGCCCAGGGGCAGCAGGATGGCCAAGGCGAGGTTCCCACCCTCCAGCTGCCGTGATGGGTCTGTAGTCTGGGTCACTGGGGGAGGAGAAGAGACTGGTCAGCGGAGACTGTGCCTGTCTTGGGCTCTCCCAGCCTCTTGCCCTGGGCCCTGAACCCTGGGCCTCACCCCTCCGGGGCCTGGCCTCCTGCCCCCGGCCTCTGCCTTGCCCTCCCGACCTGGCCAGGCCTGGGTCTCCACCTGTGCCCTCACTGACCTTCCAGTTTTCGGTTGTCCAGGAGCTCCTCATAGGCCACTGCAGGGAGAGGAGGGGGAGGGGACGGGGTCTGAGCCAGGGAGGGAAGGAGGCTGGGTAGAGGGCTGGGAGCCCAGTGGGGCTGGGCTGGATGCCTGGTCCGTTCTGCCCTCTGCTCAACCTAAGCTCTATCCTTCCCGTGGTGGGGAGGGAGAGGAATGCTCAGGGCAGGGCTTTCTTCCTCCTTTTCCAGGCTCCTAAAAATGCAGGGTTCTTGGCCTGTCTGAGCCAACCAGGTCTTTGGAATTTGTCAGAGACTGGGAAACTTAGGCCTATCCAGAGAGGGCAAGGGACTTCCAAACCAAGGCGCCCTGTGCTAAATCCCTGAAGGTAATTCCATGAGCTCAGGTTGCCCCAGGACTTCTGGACATACCTGTGAGAGTGAGCCCACAGAAGGAGCAGGGGGAGCTCGGCAGGGTCTTGAGTTTGCTACCTGACTTTCCCAGCCCTGTCACTGGACACTGCTGTGCCCCTCCTGCCCTGCTAGCCCAGGCACCTTTGCAGAGTGGGGGCTGGCTGGTCCACTGTGAGGGGTGGCCGGGCACACAGGTGATGGTGACCTCGCCGATGAGCTCGAAGCCCTCATAGCAGAAGAAGCGCAGGGACTCGCCAGCCTGGTAGTGATGCTTGTATAGCGTCTGGTAACCATTGTCTGGAACTCCAGGGTTCAGGCATGGCTCGTACTTCACTGCGGGGAGCGTGCCAGTCACGTGGCAGCTACTCTACCGAGCAGGCCAAGACGTGGCAGACTGTCCACAAGTTCCCCAGCTCCCAGCCCAGGGTGTTCCCCAGACTCACAGGCGCATTTGGGGACCCTGTCGCTCCACTTGGGTGTGCCCGTGTCCCGGCTGTAGCAGGTGAGCACAGCTGCCCCCTCCAGGCTGTATCCTGGCAGACAGCGGTACTGGACGTGGGAGCCAACGGGGAATCCAGCGTCCGAGGCAGTACGATGCCCATTGGTGATCTCCCCGGGGTCGGCACACGTCATGACTGGTGGTAGAAGGGCAAGGTTAGGGACAGGGAGGGCCTTGAAATTTCTTCCCGAAGCTCAGGCCTGGGGGAGCCCTGGGCCTTAGGCCATATCCTCTGAACAACCCCCTACCTCCCACAAATCCCTCACAATGAAGACAGCATGAGTTCGAAAAACTTAAAATTCAAATGCATTTTCATGTTTCAGGCAGCTTTTGAGAAATAGGGTGACTGGGGTAACACCAGGCCCCATCCTAGGGTGAAATTCAAAATATTTAGCCACCGTGCCAGAGCATACCAACTAAATCCCAGCAGTGGCATCCCAACGTGGTGGATCATCAGCAGAACAGCTGCCATCTTCAGAGGGGCCCAGCTCTCCTGTTCCCCTCATTCTTGTCATGCCCAGCCCACTTTGGTCACGTAAGCTATCTGCCTGGCCCATGTAAGCATGTGAGTTTATAATGCTGTTCTAGAAAAGTCATAATCACAGCAATTTCTTGAATATAAACCTATGCCAGGCACTCTGCTTAATATAACATTTAAGAGCATAGTATTTGGGGGGAGATTAGCAGATGGCGTAATGGCTACGTTGCTAGACTTCCATGTAATTGACTGTGGTTCGAGTCCCAGACCCGGTGGCTCAAATTCATACTGGGCATGTGTGCCTGTGTGCCCAAGATCCTGAAAGGAGAATGGAGGAGAAGAGATTGCCGTGTGGATATCCCCACTGGGGGGTGATTTCTCGCTTTCTGTCTCTCTGTCTCTCTGTCTTTCTGGCATGCACACATGCCCTATAGCAAAAACTTCTCCAAAAAAAAAAAGCATAATATTTGGGGCCAGCAGATGGCCTAGTGATTACATTGCTAGACTCCCACATGGCCAACTGTAGTTCAAGTCCTGGACCCAATGGTTTGAAAATCACACTGGGCATGTGCGCGTGCATGTCCAAGATTCCATAAGGAGAATGGAGAAGGGACTGCAGCATGGTGATCCCCCTGCGGGGTGTTTTCTCACTTTCCCTCTCACTGTCCCTGTCTCTCTCTCCAGCAAGCACACATGCCCGCAGGCAAAAACCTCTAAAACAAAAAACATAGTATTTAGCCTGATTATCTTGTGAGGTTATTGTCACTGTCATCTTCCTTGGGGCCCAGAGGTGGTCAAATGACTGGCCCATGGTCACTCAGCCAGGGAATGGTGAACCGGAACTACTCAGGGTCACAGTCATAGGGCACTGGACCGAGACTCAGAGGCTTGTGTCCTGGCTTAGCTTCAGGCTCAGTGTGGGAGCCTCAGACAACAGGGCTGGCCCAACTCTAGGCCTCACCCAGGCCTGACATCCTGTGGCTCTTTCCAGGGAAAGGAGCTGGGTCAGCTAGAGAGTTTGCCTGGATCCAGCCCAAACCTGGCTTCCTGTGGAAGATGCATAACCCTACATCCTTGAGGCATGCCCCCCCAAATGTGGAGAAAGTCATAAGATGCCACCCCTTTCTGCCCTTCTAAAAGATAAACACTCCCAGCTCCTTTAAACGTCACCTCCTCTATGAAATCTGTCCCCTCCTTGAGAGAATTAGCCCACTGTTTCCCCCACAGCCTTTCTCCATACTGAAGCTGGTTCTACCTATGCACTGCTCGCACACGCCAGGCCCGGTGTGGAAACCCTTCCCACTCCCCCATTCCTACTTCCCTGATCAGGACGCCAAGGCTCAGGGATGTTAAATACCTTCCCCGAAGTCACCCAGTGGTTACCACTTTGCAATGTCTCTGGTCTTTCAGGTTGTCTGCCCCTCTCTCCCCATTGGGAGCACCTTGGGGTAGGAAAGGGAACGCCAAGCGCCAAGGGAGCGCTTTGGGGCAGGAAAGGGCCTGAACCCCTTTACCTAACTCTTACCCAGCATGGGGCTTCCAAGACTATATTAACATAAAACACGTTCTCTACAAAGCCTTGGTCCTAGCAAAGTGAGTCCCCACAATATGAAGGGGATGGGAACTGATGTCGGGGCAAGGCCTAGGAGCTGTCTAGGCGAAGCCCAGGGGAATCTGGCACAGCCCAGGACAGGCGGAAATCAGACAGGCCAGAGGCGGGGCCAGGGGAAGATGGGCGTGGCCATGAGACAGCAAGGCGGGACCCGGAGGAAAACGGTCGGAACTCAAACTGGAAAAGAGAGATGCAGCTCCGAGATGCCAAAGGGATCCAGAGGGGACTGTTTTGGGGCACCAGAGGGTTTAGGGGGTGGGGCCTGAAGAAGATCCAGGCAAGATCCAGAGTGAAAGGATGGACCCATCCAGGACAGGGACGGGACCAGTTAGGATGGATCGGGACTCAAGCGGAGGCGCGGGGTCTGGCTCACTCTTTTGGCAGGCGGGTGGCGCGGCGCTCCAGGACAGGTCCCACTGGCAGGTGAGAATGTCAGAGCCCAGAAGCTCATAGCCAGGCTCGCACTGGTAAGTGAGCACTGTGCCCCGGATCAGGTCCCCGTGGGATGCGGTCCTCCAGCCCCATTCCGGGGGTGGCAGCTCCGGGCATGTGTCGTTCCTGGGAACCTCTGCAGGGAAGAGGACGAGCTTGGAGGATGCCCTTTGACTCAGGACGCCCTTCCAGCCTCAGGGGCTTCACTCTAGTGGCCCCTCCCGGAATCTCTGGTCTTCCGGGTCCCTGCCCTTCTCAGGACTCTCAATACCTTTGAAGTGCAATACGAAACCCTGGCCCAGGCCAGGATTTGGGGGCCCAGGCGGTGCCTGAAACTGCAGCGTGAGGTCGGGCCCAGAGGAGAGGAGGCGGCGGCGTGGCTGAGGTCCCCGCAGCTGGGCTAGGACTCGGGCACTGGAACCGTCCCCGTCGAATAAGGTCAGCATATCCCCTTCCCGCACATTCAAGCTGCGGAGAGTGTGACGGTTAAAGCCCCAGGACTACAACCAGATCCTCCCACCCAGTTCTGCCCAATCCCCATCTCTGTTCATTAGTAGCCCCACCTACTCTCCAGCCCCGCCCCGTATTCCTCTGCCCAAGACTGGTTCCATCTATTCCAGGGTTCCTTCCATCTTCTGCGGGCCAATCATAAGCACGCTCATTACTAACTCCGCCCACTACCTCCAGTCCCTCTCCCGTCACCATGGGATCCATAGCCTTGCTCAATTCCAGCTCTGACCAGCCACAGAGCAAACTCTTCACCCTACACAACTCTACAGCAGCCTGGGCCCTGCTTTGGGGTCACGCCCACTTCTGGTCCCATCCAGTCACATGACCACATTATATCAAATCAGCTCACTGGATTCTGCCCACACCCACCTTGGGTGCTGGTGCTGACCCAACAATTTGGGCCTGGGTCCCTGGAAATCGCTCCAGGGGTGGCCTCAGAAACCTTGGAAAATACCAGGATGCCAAGCCAGAGCCCCTTGTTCACAATAACCCCCGAGGACGCTGCACTACCCCACCTACTCATTCAGGGTTACCTGGCTATCAAGTGAGTTAAACCCAGGTTGCCCCACCCCATTCTAAATCTTTACTGGCCCCTTTTGACAGACCATATATCTACTGAATTCTGTGTAGACACAGAAGAGCCAGCCAGGCTCAGCATGCAGGCTAGTGAGTTATCATACCACCCTTCCCTGCGCCCACACCTATGGCGCCCTCCCTAGGACCCAAACATACATCTCAACTTGGAGCAAGATGCGCTTTTCTTCCTGGACGTGCAGGCCCCACACGCAGTCCTGGCCAGGGCTATAGCTCTGGGGCCAGTCCGGAGAGAGGACCACACCAGCTGGCTCGGATAGCTCCCCTCCACACATGGCTAGGACAGAAGGGATGTCAGGTTCAGGACCCAGGTGGGCATGCAGTCTCCATCCACACAGCCCTCACACTCCCGGATGCGTGCCCCAGACTTCCTCCTGTGTTTCCTGCTATTTGTGAGCCACCTGTTTCTTGCCACTTCTATGTCCTGTTGTCCCAACCCCAGCCCTGCTCTCCATGAACCCCACTCATTCCCACCTACCCAACCAGCCTGTGACTTAGCTCAACTCTAGTTCTGGCTCTGAATTCAGCAACACGCCCACCTATTACTTAGCTAAGCAAACAGTCTCTGGGAGGTGCAAGGTTGACCCAAGGCTTGAGCTTATGAGGTCTGAATAATGCAGGTCTCTTTCCTGAGTGGCCTTCCTAGGACCCCCTGGTTCACGGTATAGTATGTAGATGGAAAGACTTGCTGGGCTATAGAGGGCTCACCCTTGCAGGCTGGCTCTGTGTCATTCCAGTGGGGTTCCGTGGGATCCACACATTCAATGGCATTGGGGGGGCCAGGAGGCTCCAAGGCATATCCTGGGAGGCACGAGAAGGTGGCCAGTGCCCCTGGGCGGTACTCGGGGTCCGTGGTAGTGACATTGCCATGTGCCAGGAAAGGGGCGAAGCAGCGATCCTCCTCGAAGGCTAGGGAGGGATCAGTCGCAAAAACTGAGCATTAGTACAGACAGACTGCCAGGGGTCTCATACTGGAGAAGGCTGAATTCAGATGTCGTTTGGCCCCTGGGTGGGCTTTAAAGACCGAATGACCTTGGGTTTAGCTTTCACTCTCCAGCTTGTCAAAAGCCTTAATAATTCTCATTCACGTATTCATGTTCCTCCCTGACCTCCGGAGGGAAACCCCAAGGCTAGTCAAATCCCAGCCACCATTTTACAGATGAAGAGGTCCACAGACAAAAAGCCACTTGCCCAAGGTCACCCAGCAGGCAATGGCAGAACCAGATCTCAAATCCAGATGGCTTGATTCCCAGCCACAGATACTTGGCTCCGGAAGCTGCAAAAAGGACGGGGGTGGGGGTGGAGGTTAGGGGAGGGATGCCTTTGGAGAACTGGCTTGTGTAGGTGTGTTCTCTCCTCAAAAAGAACATTTGGAGTCTGATCATCCATGCTGTTGCTAGAATCCAAAATTGCAGCTAATGCAAAAGCTACTCAGTTTTTACTTTGGTCTAGGTCAGCAAAAATGACCATTTTTCGAGCAATTTAGTTTCTGCCCACCCGATCACATCTTAGCTGCAACACTACCTGTGAGGTAAGACTTGGGTGTCTCTGATACCAATGAGTCTGATGCTCACAGAACAATGGTGGCCCACGACCATGGAGGCAGGCCTCAAAACTAGAAATTCACTCAACAGTTCTCTTTGCACGTTAACACTCTCAGAATCTGTCAAGCAGTTCCATTTCGCAGATTCACTGCTCTACTTCACTGCTCCTTAACCTGATAAGGTATCAAGTCCACATCAGGGCCTGTCCTACCCATCCATCTGGGCCCAGGGCCAATTCCATTTCTCTGTGATTCATGCCAGAAACCAGCCCCCCATCTACGAGCATTGCACTTCTTTGTCTCTCTCCTGCTATAAATCTGCTCCAGCCATACTGCAATCCTGTTTCCCAAACAAACCACGCGTTTTCCTACCTCCTCGCCTTTGCTCATACTTTCCTTTCACCTGAGATGCTCTTTCTCGACCTTCCTGTTTTACAATACACTCTATCCTTCAAGGCCAAGCTCAAAGGCCTCTTCTCCCATGATCACTGAGTTTTGTGTTTCTACCTGTCCAGCTTCCTTCCCCCTTCCCCTGCACACAGTGATCTTACCTTGGCTTTAGTAAACATGTCTTTCCATTCCTCCCACCCCCAAGTTTCAACTGGGGCCAAGCAGAGATGGCCACGTGATATGGATCTGCCAATCATAACACCACCTGCTCCTAACCACAGCGATTGGCTGGGCAAAGGCACAGGACCTTAACCAGGTCAATGAAATCCTTTCTTAGTATTTTTGCTGAAGCTCTCAGGAAAGAGATGAGCTTTTTCCCCCTCCGATGCAGTTGCTAAGTTGGTGGAACATAAGCGTGTAGTGAGGCCATTGCACAGGGAAAGCCTGCCTGAGAATCAAACCGATGCAGAAGAAAGAATAGGGAGATGGCGACAACTGGCCTTTTGGCTGTGGACCGGGATCAGCATATCCGAAACGTAAATAGAAAAGGCTTCCTCAGAGAATGAAAAGAGGTTCATAAGAAGGAATCCTTATAAGGATGGTGGAGTAGGGAGGCAAGTGAGGTTTCAAAGGTGAGCAGAGATAGAGCATGCGCTGTGACAATGCCTGGGGTCAGGAAGAAGGGAAGGTGCAGGGGTTGGGGCTCCAAGGGGGTGCAGTTACCTTCAAATCGGAGGCTTAGCAGCAAGGGATTGGCAGGTGTCTCTGAGAGCAGCTCCACATAGAGGGACTGGGCGTCACTGATGAGACCTCGCTCTGGGACATCGTCCATGTCTGAGTCGTAGATCACTGGGGATAGCGGACTGCCCCCTGAGCGCACCATCAGCCTGGGGTGGGCAGAAGAGTGGCCAGAGCTCGACTTTCCCTCAGAAGCTGCCTCACCTCTTGCCTGCTCCCCTAACTTATTTTTATGCCTAGTCTTTGTCTTTTTTTTTTTTTAAGTTTATTTATTTCTTCTATGAGTCAGAGATACACAGAGAAAGGAAAAGAGAGAGAGAAATAGCACCCCCAACAGTTCTGACATCACGATCCACCCCCAGTTTCAGCCAGCCCCAGATGACAGGTGTGCCCATGCCAGTATGTTCAGGGAGGTCTCCAGGCATGAACCGGAAACTTCCTGCATGGGTCAGCTTCACAGAGCATTGCGTTTTACCACTGTGCCACCATATGGCGTATATTGGGTTGTCATGGGACCAGCAGGAGGCGTGGTGGTTAAGGGCACTGGACTCCCACATGGTCGACTGCGGTTCAAGTCCCAGACCTGAGCAGACTGCCCCCTGAGCGCACCATCAGCCTGGGGTGGGCAGAAGAGTGGCCAGAGCTCGACTTTCCCTCAGAAGCTGCCTCACCTCTTGCCTGCTCCCCTAACTTATTTTTATGCCTTAGTCTTTGTCTTTTTTTTTTTTTAAGTTTATTTATTTCTTCTATGAGTCAGAGATACACAGAGAAAGGAAAAGAGAGAGAGAAATAGCACCCCCAACAGTTCTGACATCACGATCCACCCCCAGTTTCAGCCAGCCCCAGATGACAGGTGTGCCCATGCCAGTATGTTCAGGGAGGTCTCCAGGCATGAACCGGAAACTTCCTGCATGGGTCAGCTTCACAGAGCATTGCGTTTTACCACTGTGCCACCATATGGCGTATATTGGGTTGTCATGGGACCAGCAGGAGGCGTGGTGGTTAAGGGCACTGGACTCCCACATGGTCGACTGCGGTTCAAGTCCCAGACCTGGTGGCTTGCTTTCTCATATTCTCTCTCTCTCTCTCACACTCTATCACTCTGTGATCAAATTAAAATAAATAAATAAATGGATAAGTAAAGTTAGATAAAATAATTCTTTTAAAACATGGTGATATGGGACCAGCAGGAGGCGTGGTGGTTAAGGGCACTGGACTCCCACATGGTCGACTGCGGTTCAAGTCCCAGACCTGGTGGCTTGCTTTCTCATATTCTCTCTCTCTCTCTCACACTCTATCACTCTGTGATCAAATTAAAATAAATAAATAAATGGATAAGTAAAGTTAGATAAAATAATTCTTTTAAAACATGGTGATGCTGCGTCAGCAGGTGGCGTGAAGGTTAAGGTGGCTGGATTCCCACATGCAAAACATGGTGATGCTAATGATAAACACTTTTAGTGTCTTAGGCACCATTCTAAGTACTTCACATAGCTTCCTTTCTTTCCTTTCCTTTCTTTCTTTTGTTAATTGCCAGAGATTATGTGTGCTCACTGGAGAGAAAGCGAGAAAAAGAGAGAGAAAATCCCCCAAAGGGTGCGATCGTACTGCACGTGAAGGTTAAGGTGGCTGGATTCCCACATGCAAAACATGGTGATGCTAATGATAAACACTTTTAGTGTCTTAGGCACCATTCTAAGTACTTCACATAGCTTCCTTTCTTTCCTTTCCTTTCTTTCTTTTGTTAATTGCCAGAGATTATGTGTGCTCACTGGAGAGAAAGCGAGAAAAAGAGAGAGAAAATCCCCCAAAGGGTGCGATCGTACTGCAATCCTTTTTCCTCCATTTCCCCATTCTGTCAGGACCTGGGGCACATGTGCATAGATGCACATGCATTTAGCATGTTTTTTGAGCCACGGGGCCTGAGATTCAAATTGTGGTTGGCCATGTGGGATCTATCTCCCTTAACCACTGTGCTAGGGGGCTGGCCCACTTTACATATCTGTGTGTGTGTCCACGTGCGTGCATGTGCACTAGAGGGTGATGAGCCAGAGAGAAGGAGAGGGAAAGGAGAAAAACCCGCTCCTACAGGAAATGGTCACACTGCAACCCCTCCTCCATTTCCCCCTTTTGTTGGGATTTCGGGCATACATGCACATGTGCCTGGAGTGTTTCTCAAGCCACTGGGTCTGGGATTCAAGCTGTGCAGTCAGCCATATGGTATCATGTGCCTTAACCACCAAGCCACAGAGGCAGCCCCACTTTGCATAACTTGTTTATCTTCATAGAAACCATATGAAGAAGGTACTGTTACCTCCATTCTACACACAAGGAGACTGAGGCTTAGAGAGGTTAAATGATTTGTTGAAGGGTGCACCGCTATACTCCTTTTAAAAGGGCAGGACTGGGACCAGCAGTTAGAGTAATGGCTATGTCGCTGGACTCCCATGTAGTCGATCGTGGTTCAAGTCCCGGACCTGGTGGCTTAAACTCACGCCGGGCGTGTGTATGTGAGTGCCTAAGATCCCAAGAGGAGGATGGAGGAGAAGGGATTGCAGCGGGGTCATTCCCCCTGAGGGGTGATTTCTCGCTTTGTGTCTATCTCGCTGTCTTTCTGGCGAGCACATGCGCCCTATAGCAAAAACCTGAGCCCATCCCCCCTATAGCAAAAAACTCTCAAAAAAAAAAAAAAAAAAAGAGCATGACTGTGTTTGATACATATCCCTTCCAAGGTCTGCCTGACTCCCCACTGCAGCCTCCTCCTTCCCTGAGGTGGGGACCTCTGACCCAATGCCCAGCCCTCACCGATCATTGTCCTCATCCAGGGAGACCCTTTCGAAGTGCAGGTGCAGCCGGCGTCCCTCAGCTGCTTCAATGACCCAACGACAGGTGAGGTTGGGCCCTGCAGCTCCCCCAGGCTCGGGGGACACTATGCGGCCCAGTGTGGCATTGTGGATGGTGCCACCACAGGATGCTGTGGGAAGAGAAGGGGCAGGTTAGGGCCAGCTTGTGGGGATTGTGCTCCTTGAGACCTTGTCCCTTCTCAGGCCCAACCACAGAGCTGTTAAATCCATGCCTTTCACAGAGACCTGCTCTAAGGATGGCCTCTGCCCCACAGCTCAGCCCAGAGGACAGGTCTTCCCCAGGCCACCACCCAGGTGGGGAACCAGCCCTGGAACAGAACAGCTCCAGGATGGACACCCCCAGGATGGAGATTCCACCACCTCCCTAGAGGTGGACACCCTGGGATAAGGAGTCATGGAAGAGCCGAAATTGAAACTCTCAGATGGAAACTCTTCTGGGTAGGAATTCCCAAAATGAGAACTCCACAGGGTGGGGGACCCCCAGGATGAAGGCTATCCAGGATAAAGACTTTCCAGATATGGCCCCTAAGGAAGGTTTCCTCTAGGATGAGAACTCTCCAAAAGAAAGAACCTACAGAATGGCAACTCCCAAAATGGATAACTCCGGAGGGATCACCCAAGGATGGAGACTTCCAAAGGATAGAGACTCAGTGTGAAGGGCACCAGATGCTTGACAGGGATTCTTCTGGGTAGAAACCCCTTCTAGGAGTTAACCCTAAGGATGGGGGTTCCCAGGAAAGGATTCACCCAGTGGGGTTCCCACAACAGGCATCCCCACTCCTTGTGGCAGGAGACTCACCTATGCAGGTGGGGGGTTCACCATTCCAGGCTGGCCGGGTGCCATTGAGGCAGATGAGGGTCTCTTCCCCCTGCAGCTGGTAGCCTGAGTCACAGTGGAAAGTGGCAGTGCCCCCAGGGTGCAGGTCTGTCACACTCACATCTCCATGGGCCGGCCGGGGAGGGAAGCCACAGCTCAGGAGATAGGCTGGACCAGGCAGAATAGGAAGAAGGAGTCATTTTCCCATGTCACTCCCATACCATTCCCCAGCGCTTCCTCCCCATCTTTCCAGGCCCCCCAGGAGGACAAGCTGGCTCTACACGGGAGTTCACACTGAAGAATTAAGACCGCCACACATAGGTGCATTGTCCCATAAAGGTCATTTCGCTATTTCTCATCTCTTTGTAATTCCTCTTTGCAGTTAGCCCACTTTGGCCCCCGTTCTTTCAATGTGATACCTGAGGCTCCAGGAAGTTAATATGGATCCTGGTACTGATCTGCTGTGTGACCTCAGGCAAATCAATGGCGTATTCTGTAAATCCTGTCCAGCTCTAATAATAACAAACATTGGGTTGTTGGAAAAGTCATGACATATTTTTTTTCTATGCAACAATGCATTATGGCTTTTCAGTCAACCCAATAGTATTTTCAGAGCTTGTTCAGCTTCCAAAGTGAGTTCACACAGAGCTTTTGAGGAAGGCAGAAAAAGATTGCGTGACTCGTTTTCCAGATGTGGAAATTGAGGCTCCAAGTTTCGATGTTTTTCTCCTATTCTCACACACAGACTTTCTTCCACTGAGGCATTAAAACCTCAGCGTTCATTCAGATGAGCTGTGTGGAACTTCTGTTGGAATTTTGACTATTTTGTCAAAGACCTTAATACTCAGTTCCTCCTAATGGGGACCCCATTGAAAGTGACGTGCCTGGTTTGTCTTCTCCTTTCTAGGCGTAGGAACTGTATAATCTCCCTTTTTGCACTGGCTGCCAGGAAGCTTGGAACCAGATATAGGCTTGACAATAGCAACAAGGGTCTTTTTTTTCAACTTTAATTAGCAGTCATTACCTGGTACCATTTTCGTCTTATTTATTTTATTTCACTGTACAAGGGACTTCAAAGGGTTTATAAAAATAGAATTAAAGTCTGAGTTTATTTTGGTGCACAAAATTTTTATTTATTTTAATTTTTAAAGGATATGTTATTTTAAAAATTATTTTATTTAACTTTATTTATTTAAATTTGATCAGAGAGGTACAGAGAAAGAGGGAGAGAGAGAAAGTGAGAAAGCAAGCAAGCTGCCAGGTCCAGGACTCGAACCACAGTCGGCCATGTGAGAGTCCAGCGCCCTTAACCACCATGCCACCTTCTGGCCCCATGTGTAAGAAATTTTTAAATTCATGCAGAGTTTCCTCATAATATGCATTTCTGTGACCTTTTGGAAGACCTTCTTATATGGCTTACATCCTTTTGAAAGCCTCCTGAAATTCTTGTGACAGCACATGGGATAAAGCAAATAAAGAGAAAGTAAATTGGGACTAGCAAATGGTGTAATGGTTACATTGCTGGACTCCCACGTAGTCGACTACAGTTCGAGTCCCAGACCTGATGGCTTGAGACTCACGCTGGGCATGTGTGCGTGTGTGTCCAGAATCCCAAGGGGAGAACAAAGGAGAAGGGAGCAGCATGGCCAGCTCCCCCCACCCCGCGGGGGGGGATTTCTTGCTTTCTGTCTCTCTGTTTTTCTCTGTCTCTTCAGCGAGCGCACACACCCTATCGCAAAAATCTCACTCTAAAAAAAAAAGTAAGTCACTTGATAGTAAATGACAGGCTCTGAACTTAATCCTGACAGAACTCTGTCTACATTTCAGACCAGGCAGAACTAATCAAGGTAGCCTTCCTGGAGTCAGTGGACCAAAGCTGTGTCCTGTAAGAGGGGGTGGCTCTGATTAGCAGGGGCCTTGGCAGCCACCAGCTTGACCGAGCCTTTGCTTTTTCTAGCCTTTAGTGATTCTGTAAGAGACCTTGTCCTTTCCTATTTCAGACATTCCTTGGCTAGGCCCTGAGGACAGAGAGATAAAAAGACCCAAGCCTTGCCCTTCAGGAGCCTATGGTCTACTGAGCTAGACAAACACGAAAAGGACCTACTAGAACACAGTGGTTTCAATACATGTTAGCTTCTGAAATGGCTGTCCATAACCAGCAGAATCAAGTCTGAAATGTTTTCCCCTTTGCTACAGGATGTATATACTCCGAAGAGAAAGATGAGGCTAGAGAGAGTAATCACAGTACAGTCTCTTCTCCTCCATTCTCCTCTTGGATTTGGGGCATGCATGCAAACTCGCTTGTATTTTTTTTTGGTCCAAGCATTTTTTTCTTTTTTGAGAGGTTTTTGCTATAGGGCACGTGCGCTCGCCAGAGAGACAGAGAGAGACGGAGAGACAGAAAGTGAGAAGTCACCCCCCCGGGGGGGTGGCCATGCCGCAATCCCTTCTCCTCCATTCTCCTCTCGGGATCTTGGGCACGCACGCACACGCGTCCGGCATGAGTTTCAAGCCGCCGGGTCCGGGACGTGAACTGCAGTCGACTACAAGGGAGTCCAGCAACATAGCCATTACGCCAACTGCTGGTTTCGGTCGACTACATGGGAGTCCAGCGACATAGCCATTACGCCAACTGCTGGTTCCCAACACGCTTGATTTTTTTAAGCCACCAAGTTCAGGACTCGAATTGCACAATTGGTCATGTGGGATTCATCTGCCTTAACCAGCATGCCACCTGGCTGGCCCCACGTCTGAATATTTTATTTTATTTTATTTTATTTTATTTATTGCCAGAATGCATGTACACTCACAAGAGAGAAAGGAAAAGGGAGAAAGCACCCTTAATGGGGCATGGTCTTGCCACAACCCCCCTTCTCCTCTATTTCTTCATCCTGTTGGAATGCACACATACCTGGCATGGTGATCTTTTTCTCTTTTTAAAGAGTTATTTTATTTAACGTTATTTATTTATTTATTTATTTTAATTTGACCAGTGAAGGACAGAGGGAGGAGAGAGAGAGAAAGTAAGTTGCTAGGTTCGAGACTTGAACTGTGGTAGGCCATGTGGGAGTCCAGCACCCTTAACCACCACGCCACCTGCCAGCCCCCATGCCTGGCATGTTTTTCAAGTCACTGGGGCCAGGATTTGAACCTTGCAATCACTGGAGATCCAGTCTGCCCAGGTCTTCATGTTTCTTTTTGTTTTTGTTTTTGTTTTGTTGTTATTGGGTGCATGTGCTTGCTGGAGAGCGTGAAAGCAAGAGATCACCCCCAAGAGGCGATGGCCATGGCACAGTTCCTTCTGCTCTTGGGCTTTTGGGCATGCATGCACGTGTGTCTGGTATGATTTTAATCTGCCAGGTCTGGAACTCCAGCTATGCAGATGGCTACGTGGGATCCAGCCGTCTTAACCTTTATGCTACCTGCTAGCCCAAGCCTGCATTTAAGACTGCCATTCCAGCCCCTGGGTGCAGCCCAGAACTTTCACTGTTAGCAGCCAGCGCCTGAGAGGCAGATACCTTATACAACAGGTTTTGACTCCCAAAGATGATCCCACCTCCATATTTTTGCCCACATCCTTGTCCCTATCTGGAAGACCTTCTCCACTCTCTTCCTCATCTCTTAAGGAGTAACATTTTTAAAAAAAGTTTATTTCCTCCATGAGAGAGAGACAGGCATCCACTTCACACTGGGATCCACCCACAGTCTTAGCTGGCCAAGATCAAGGGCTCGTGTGAGTGTGTGTGTGTGTATGTATTGTTTCTGACATGCAAAGGAGTTCCAGGACATAAACCTAGGACCTTTCGTGTGTGGATACAGTTGAATTACCACTGTGTCATCATCTGGCCCCTCGAGGAGTAACTTAAGTGCCACCTCTCCAGGAAGCTTTCTTGACCATTCCTCTCACCAAGTGAGTTCATTGTTCTCAAGCTTATATGCAATCCTGCAGCTTAATTTTGTTATCACATTAACCCCTCTCTATGGCCATTATGACAATTCTTTATTTTGTCTCTTAAAAGTATAGCTGATTGGGACCAGCAGTTAGCATAATGGCTATGTTGCTGGACTCCTATGTAGTCAACCACAGTTCAAGTCCCGGACCCAGTGGCTTAAGCTCACACCAGCCGCATGTGCTTGTGTGCCCAAGATCCCGAGAGAATGGAGAAGGGATTGTGGCGTGGCCATCCCCCCTGGGGGCTGATTTCTCGCTTTCTGTCTTTCTGTCTCTCTCTGTCTTCCTGGCAAGCACATGTGCCCTATAGCAAAAATCTCTAAAAAAAAAAAAAAAAAAACTAAAGTATAGCTGATCAATTGATGCAGTCGAAGCAGGGCAGAATGGTGCAGTGAGTACTGAATTTGGACCCAGGCAGACCTGTATTCCAGTTCCAGCTCCAGGTCCACTAGGGGCCCCTCACCTATTAATGACAATAATCCTTCCTAGTGAAGACTGGCCAAGGTCAAACCAAAAAAGCATCAAGGCACCTGACACATAAAAGGTGATCAGGAAATATTAATCACCTGCCTCTCAGCCTCAATTAATAAATAACTGGGAGTCAGGGACTTGGGGATTGATCTCCAACTCTGAAATACATTTGCAGGTGGCTGAGCAATCCACAGAATCTTTGAGTATTGTCTTCCTCTGAGCAGTGGAACAGACAGTGGCCACTCCCAGGGTTGCCATGAGAAGCGAAGGGAAAGATGGTTAGTAAAAGGGTTTGGTAAGTGAAAACGTGGGCTGGACTTGGATTGAGGAGTGCTGGAGGAGCTAATGAGGCCACTCTGGATCAGAGCGCAGGTTGGGAAGGGTTTAAACAGGGCCTCAGTCCCAAAGGTGCTTGCGGGAGCCACACAGCAGACAAGACCGCGGCAGGTAATGAAGACCAATTTATGCAATAGTCCTGCTTCCCCAAATGTTCCACTTAGCCTAAAGAGTCCTATTTTCAATGCCCTGGGGAAGTGCTGCTTAAAGGAGCCAGTGGGGAGCCACTCTGAAATATCCGAAGTCCAGTCCCCGGTCATGTGCCCTCAAGACATGCTCTTGCTCCCCCAAACAAGACCCCTGCCACTGAGTACATGTCCGTCAGCCCACTGCCTTTCCATGCACAGGCCTGATGGTGGCCGCATCTACCTTGCACACATGAGCTCCTAGGGCAGGTCTTGAGCAGAGGCCTTGGGAGAGGAGAAGGGGAAAGCTGGTGAGGATAAGAGCAAGTTATGGATAAACGCTGTGTCCTGTGTAAGGAGCACAGGGTAGCAGGGAGGGGGCCGCAAGTGGCGTGGTGATTAAGGCGGCTGGATCCCACATGGCAGACTGCATGATTCAAGTCCTGGACCTGGTGGCTTGAAAAACATCCCAGGTGCATGTGCGTGCATGCCAAACAAAACAAAACCAAACCAAAAGGAGCACAGGGTATCTGGGGTCATCAGAGCTCAGCAGGGCAGAGCACAGCACAGGAACCCAGGCAAAGCCATAGGAGCTACAAATGAGTATTAGCCCAACACACACGCCCCTCTGTTTCCAAGGAACATAGGAGGGACCTTGGAGAAGACAGTAGTGTCTGGAACAGGGACATCGGCTGGGCCCCTTCCCTCAGGCACACATGTGCACTTGCACTGTGAGAAGGTGACTGGTCCTGTAGCCCAAGAGTTAAGGGGGTCAATCACATCGGCAACCACATGGTTCAAATCCCAGTGTCTTAAAAAACACATGGTTGGGACCAGTGGATGGCGTAATTGTTATGTCGCTGGACCTCCATGTAGTCGATAGCAGTTCAGGTCCTGGACCTGGTGGCTTAAACCTCATGCCAGGCGTGTGTATGTGCATGCCCAAGATCCCAATAGGAAAATGGAGGAGAAGGAATTGTGGCCTGGCCACCCCCTCGGGGGGATAATTTCTCACTTTCTGTCTCTCTGTCTCCATCTCTGCAGCAAGAACATGTGCCCTATAGCAAAAATCTCTCTGTCAAATAAAAAACAATAAAAAATTTAAAAAAGCCCAAAACATACACGGTTGGGATCAGCAAGTGGAGTCATGGTTAAGACACCTGGCTCCCACATGGCTGAGTGCAGTTCGAGTTCCAAACCTGGCGGCTTGCTTTCTCACTTGCCCTCTCTCTATCTTTCTCTGTGTGTCTCTCTCTGGTGAGCACACATGTCCTATAGCAAACTTAAAAACAAAAACAAAAAAAAACAATGAAAAAACACCAGTGTATGTTCATGTGTTCCCAAATCCCGATAGGATGGAGAAGTGAAGGGAAAGGGACTGCAGCATGCCCAGGCCCCATGGAGGAGTGTTTCCTCCCATCCCCCTGCCCCTGCTCCATTGCTTTCTGGAGAGTACACACACCCTCTTGCAGTTATAAAAATAGGAGTCAACCGTCTCCTCTGCCCCTGCAGGTTAAAGTAGTCTGAACTCCTTACTGATGGCGATAAGGCCTTTTATGATCGGAATCCAACGTGCCTCCTACCCTGGTCTCTGAGCCCATTTCTCTCCCACCCTCTCTGGGCTTTGGCTATCACAGCTGAAGTTAGCAGTGACTGGCTTTGTTCAGCCCTCCCTACATACCAGACGCTATTTTAAACAAGCATCTGACATGTGGGCACCCATTGGATAATACACTGAGGTAAGTCTTATGATCCCTATTGTCAGATGAAACCACAAAACACAGAAAGGTGAAGTCATTTGTCCTAGGTCACACAGGACAATTCTATCTTCCATGCTGAATTTCTTCCCCTCCACTAGGGGTCATGTTTTCTCTCCTCCCTGGGGCTCAGGGCATGCTTTTTCATCCACCTAGACATCTGCCTCTCTCGCTTTCTCCCTCCCACCCTGGCTAACTCATCCTTTAGGTCTCAGCTTAGTCATCACCTCCTTCAAGAATGTGTCCCAATATTCCTTAAAAAACAGTAGGTCCCTGGGCTACTGTCCCTGCTCCCCCTACCTGTGTCTCCTCCATCGTAGCCCTAATCACGCTGAATAACAGCCTTCCTGATTACTTGCCTGTCTGCCCACCTAGATTCTCAGTTCTTTGAAGTCGAATGTATACCTGGGTAGCTCATTCCCCAAGGCTAACACAGGAATGGATGAAATGTCACCTGGATGTGGACACACCCAGACCCAGATCTGTGAGTGTGTGAGATGCGTGCAAGAGTCCCCCTGTGGGTCCTGCCTTGCCAGGGTCCCAGCCAGGAGGAAAAGCCCCTCAGCCTTCTATGCTTGGAAGGCTCCCAGAGATGTTTCCTATGCCCAATGTGGCCCCTGCCCTTCTGCCAGCACCCCCAGACTCCTCACCCTGATAGTGGATTCTGAAGCCACCGCCCCTTGGGACCCGTGGACTCTGGAAGTGCAGGAGCAGTCGGTTGGTTGGGCTTCGAAGGACCTGTCCTTCTCCCAGCATGGAGGAGTTGGCCAAGAGACGGGGAGCCAGGCCTGGGGAACCCCCGCCAGCCAGCACCAGGAGCTCTTCCTCCTGAGACAGGTTCAGCGTCTGCACCTAATGAAAGCCAGATGTAGACCCAGCAGGGCAAGTCAGCCAGGAAGGTGACTCCCTAAGCCTCCGCCCCGTCTGCCTTTTCCCCATTTGTAGTAGCCGAAATACCACAGTGACAACGTACAGTGACACTGCCCAAATTGTAAAACTTTAGAAGTGTTTTAAGATGAGCTAAGTCAGAAAACAGATTCTCTGACTCACAGACCAAATCCATCTGCCCCCAAGGACCCCAAGGAAAGAGCATGGCAGCCTCACATCATGTACTTAGGGCCAGTTACCTGGATCTCAATGCCGTAGCCAGGGTAGACGTGGATGCTGTAAGTGCAGTCCAAGAGTCCCAGGGTGCGACTGGCAGTGCTCCCCAAATCTGGAGACTCCACGTACCCCTCACCCTCGGAGATGTTGTTATTACACAGAACTAAGGAGATACAATGGCTGGGAATGAGAGTCCTCCTTTGCTCCTGCCCTCCTTGCCAAGCAGCTCAGGAGGTCCTCGTCAGTCCTCTCCCCACACCGTGGTCGTTCATCCCATGCTCCCTGTCCCACCTGTACTCAGAACCCTCCACCTGCACTGAGATACAGAGAACGCACAGCAAGGTGACCCTACACCGCAAGGGTATATACATGCTAGCCTTTGCTCTTATTAAGCAGACGCTCCTCTCCCACCTGCACCAAGAACTTCTTCCACCAGCCCCAGCAGCCTCTCCCCACCCATCGCCAGCATCCTGGTCTCCCACGTCCATGCTCTTGAACGTTACCGCATTCTCTTTCCATCGCCTCACCTGGGCTGGTCACCGTAGTGGTGACAGTTGTTGTGGTGATGATGGTGGTCGTAGTCTCCTCCTCTCCTCCCTCAGGCCCCAGGGGCGGGCCTGGGGAGGCGGGGCCGGGTGGGGGCGGGGCCGTAGTTCCTGGGGGCGGGGTCAGCAGCTCTGGCGCGGTGGGGCCTGCCCCCCTGCCCCCCATAGGGGGTAAGGCCTGGGTAAGAGGGCCGT